CGCCCCGGCACACGCCAGGGTCGCAGCGCTGCACGCCACAGGCCTTGGCGCGCGCACAACCACGCGGTGTCCCGGCAGCTCCGCGGCAGTCCGGCACCCGGGAGCGCCTCTCCTCGGCGAAGGCCGCAGAGGATGCCAGCAGCCACGCAGGGCGTGAGACCACCCTGCGGAGCAGGGCAAAGGGGCTCCTGCTCTCGCCCGCCCGTGGGGGCGGCGTCAGCCGGTGTCACCGCAGCTCGCCCCGAACGCTCTCTGCCCATTTAGGCACCTGAAACGAAGAGAGCAGCAGCGGGTGCGATCAGGCTCCGATCCGTTCTGTCCCGGGGTTTAAGCGGCCCGAAGAATTCTGCAGGAGTGGCCCCGTAGCTCCCGGGACTGCGGGAGAAGGAAACTGCCCCGGGACACCCCCTGCACAGACCCCCAGAGCCTCTCCCAGGGTCCTGCTGGCAGACAAGGCTGTACAGCAGAGCTCGTCTGCTCGGCTCTGCCGGCACAAATTGCAAATTACAAATTACTGTAGTTATGGTCGCTCTCAGACCTGGTGCCTCGAGGAAGGTTTTCGACAGTGACCAAAACTTATCTGTGTGCAGTTTTCAAGTGTTCCGATTTCAGGTAACCTAGGCATCTTAGAGACGTCCCTTGCCTGGGAATTAACTCTACACAGCTATCGCTCTAGCCTCTAAAAATAAGTTAGGAGTACAACAGTCACTTTTTTTTTCGATAACCGCCACATAATATTCCAGTAACAGTTTCATCTATTTTAACTGGAGAGGGCCGTAACGGCTTTTCATGCACGGATTTTTATCTCACAAAGTCTCAGCCTTCCGCAGGGTCTCCGAGGCGTGTCTGCTGCAAGCGCGCCTTTCATTTACCATTAGCTGGGTGTACTAGAATTGCGCTTTATTTACACGACACACACGATTATTTGGGGACCACCAGGGCATCTCGGGCGCCCAGAATAAGCCATCCCCTCCTTGAGATCGCACCTTAACACTGCAGAAGTTTGGCTAGGCCCGTAGGCAACAGCTGGGTGCACCAAAGGCAGCGGGTTCATTTCTTTTCCGATCTGAAGACTAGCCTTCTTCACCTAAATACTGGAAAAGGTCCCAGCAAGCAGAAAGCAAGAGGCAGAAGTGCCCAACAGCAGACAGGAACAGCGGCTGAAGAGAACCAAGCAAACAGTCCACCCCAGTAACTCATCCTTCTCCACCTCCACCATTAGTTTCACTCCTAATTACCCTCAGCTTGTAGTAGGTTTGCCACCTTGCAGTCCGAGTTCTCTAGGTTACCAGCTGTCCTACAGAAAATGTAGTCACACCACCACCGGTTCCCCAGGCAACCACTTGCAGGTCAGTGACCAACTCCTGTTGTCCACCTTGAGAGCCAAATGCACGGCCTCACGCTGGCTGCAGTGTCTTTTGTTTTCAGGAGGCCGGGGGGGGGAGGGGGACGACGACGACACAAACCACCAAAGAATCTCATTTTAATGTGGTTCTTTTTACAGAGCAGCTCCAGCAGCATTTGGTTCCTAGATGTGCAAACCCTCCAACACACGTTCCCCGGGTGACAGCCTCCTAGCAAGTTCTCCTGTCTGCACAGTGCAGCCAGCTCTTTACGGAACAGCCTGGTTCTGCCTTGAATCGGCCTCTCTGCTTCGGGATCACACTCTTCCAAGCAGGGCAACTTTCAATACATGCAGCGAGTGGTTTACCACGACGCAAGACAAACGAGCAGACGAACACAGTCGCTCATCAATCATTACTTGCTTCTGTTACAGAGTTCACACGAAAAATAAATAGCGAAGTAGAGGATACACCGACAGAGACCGTGGCGTAAGCAGCCAGTCCAAGCCCGGCCCCGCCGCCCTGCGGGGGCACGGCGAGGCCCGCCC